TAGAGTGTGTCTCTGAGAGAGTGAGTGTGTGTGTGTGTGTGTGAGAGTGTCTCTGAGAGTGTGTGTTTGTGTGAGAGAGTGTCTCTGAGAGAGTGAATGAGTGTGTGTGTGTTTGTGTGTGTGAGAGAGTGTGTCTCTGAGTGAGTGTGTGTGTGTGTGTGTGTGTGTGTGTGAGAGTGTGTCTCTGAGAGAGTGAGTGTGTGTGTGAGAGAGTGTCTGAGAGAGTGAGTGTGTGTGTCTCTGAGAGAGTGTGTGTGTGTCTCTGAGAGAGTGAGTGTGTGTGTGTGTGTGTGTGTGAGAGAGTGTGTCTCTGAGAGAGTGAGTGAGTGTGTGTGTGTGAGAGAGTGTCTCTGAGTGTGTGTGTTTGTGTGTGTGAGAGAGTGTGTCTCTGAGTGAGTGAGTGAGTGAGTGTGTGTGAGAGAGTGTGTCTCTGAGAGTGAGTGTGTGTGTGAGAGTGTGTCTCTGAGAGAGTGAGTGAGTGTGTGTGTGTGAGAGAGTGTCTCTGAGTGTGTGTGTTTGTGTGTGTGAGAGAGTGTGTCTCTGAGTGAGTGAGTGAGTGAGTGTGTGTGAGAGAGTGTGTCTCTGAGAGTGAGTGTGTGTGTGAGAGTGTGTCTCTGAGAGAGTGAGTGAGTGTGTGTGTGTGAGAGAGTGTCTCTGAGTGTGTGTGTTTGTGTGTGTGAGAGAGTGTGTCTCTGAGTGAGTGAGTGAGTGAGTGTGTGTGAGAGAGTGTGTCTCTGAGAGTGAGTGTGTGTGTGAGAGTGTGTCTCTGAGAGAGTGAGTGAGTGTGTGTGTGTGAGAGAGTGTCTCTGAGTGTGTGTGTTTGTGTGTGTGAGAGAGTGTGTCTCTGAGTGAGTGAGTGAGTGAGTGTGTGTGAGAGAGTGTGTCTCTGAGAGTGAGTGTGTGTGTGAGAGTGTGTCTCTGAGAGAGTGAGTGAGTGTGTGTGTGTGAGAGAGTGTCTCTGAGTGTGTGTGTTTGTGTGTGTGAGAGAGTGTGTCTCTGAGTGAGTGAGTGAGTGAGTGTGTGTGAGAGAGTGTGTCTCTGAGAGTGAGTGTGTGTGTGAGAGTGTGTCTCTGAGAGAGTGAGTGAGTGTGTGTGTGTGAGAGAGTGTCTCTGAGTGTGTGTGTTTGTGTGTGTGAGAGAGTGTGTCTCTGAGTGAGTGAGTGAGTGAGTGTGTGTGAGAGAGTGTGTCTCTGAGAGTGAGTGTGTGTGTGAGAGTGTGTCTCTGAGAGAGTGAGTGAGTGTGTGTGTGTGAGAGAGTGTCTCTGAGTGTGTGTGTTTGTGTGTGTGAGAGAGTGTGTCTCTGAGTGAGTGAGTGAGTGAGTGTGTGTGAGAGAGTGTGTCTCTGAGAGTGAGTGTGTGTGTGAGAGTGTGTCTCTGAGAGAGTGAGTGAGTGTGTGTGTGTGAGAGAGTGTCTCTGAGTGTGTGTGTTTGTGTGTGTGAGAGAGTGTGTCTCTGAGTGAGTGAGTGAGTGAGTGTGTGTGAGAGAGTGTGTCTCTGAGAGTGAGTGTGTGTGTGAGAGTGTGTCTCTGAGAGAGTGAGTGAGTGTGTGTGTGTGAGAGAGTGTCTCTGAGTGTGTGTGTTTGTGTGTGTGAGAGAGTGTGTCTCTGAGTGAGTGAGTGAGTGAGTGTGTGTGAGAGAGTGTGTCTCTGAGAGTGAGTGTGTGTGTGAGAGTGTGTCTCTGAGAGAGTGAGTGAGTGTGTGTGTGTGAGAGAGTGTCTCTGAGTGTGTGTGTTTGTGTGTGTGAGAGAGTGTGTCTCTGAGTGAGTGAGTGAGTGAGTGTGTGTGAGAGAGTGTGTCTCTGAGAGTGAGTGTGTGTGTGAGAGTGTGTCTCTGAGAGAGTGAGTGAGTGTGTGTGTGTGAGAGAGTGTCTCTGAGTGTGTGTGTTTGTGTGTGTGAGAGAGTGTGTCTCTGAGTGAGTGAGTGAGTGAGTGTGTGTGAGAGAGTGTGTCTCTGAGAGTGAGTGTGTGTGTGAGAGTGTGTCTCTGAGAGAGTGAGTGAGTGTGTGTGTGTGAGAGAGTGTCTCTGAGTGTGTGTGTTTGTGTGTGTGAGAGAGTGTGTCTCTGAGTGAGTGAGTGAGTGAGTGTGTGTGAGAGAGTGTGTCTCTGAGAGTGAGTGTGTGTGTGAGAGTGTGTCTCTGAGAGAGTGAGTGAGTGTGTGTGTGTGAGAGAGTGTCTCTGAGTGTGTGTGTTTGTGTGTGTGAGAGAGTGTGTCTCTGAGTGAGTGAGTGAGTGAGTGTGTGTGAGAGAGTGTGTCTCTGAGAGTGAGTGTGTGTGTGAGAGTGTGTCTCTGAGAGAGTGAGTGAGTGTGTGTGTGTGAGAGAGTGTCTCTGAGTGTGTGTGTTTGTGTGTGTGAGAGAGTGTGTCTCTGAGTGAGTGAGTGAGTGAGTGTGTGTGAGAGAGTGTGTCTCTGAGAGTGAGTGTGTGTGTGAGAGTGTGTCTCTGAGAGAGTGAGTGAGTGTGTGTGTGTGAGAGAGTGTCTCTGAGTGTGTGTGTTTGTGTGTGTGAGAGAGTGTGTCTCTGAGTGAGTGAGTGAGTGAGTGTGTGTGAGAGAGTGTGTCTCTGAGAGTGAGTGTGTGTGTGAGAGTGTGTCTCTGAGAGAGTGAGTGAGTGTGTGTGTGTGAGAGAGTGTCTCTGAGTGTGTGTGTTTGTGTGTGTGAGAGAGTGTGTCTCTGAGTGAGTGAGTGAGTGAGTGTGTGTGAGAGAGTGTGTCTCTGAGAGTGAGTGTGTGTGTGAGAGTGTGTCTCTGAGAGAGTGAGTGAGTGTGTGTGTGTGAGAGAGTGTCTCTGAGTGTGTGTGTTTGTGTGTGTGAGAGAGTGTGTCTCTGAGTGAGTGAGTGAGTGAGTGTGTGTGAGAGAGTGTGTCTCTGAGAGTGAGTGTGTGTGTGAGAGTGTGTCTCTGAGAGAGTGAGTGAGTGTGTGTGTGTGAGAGAGTGTCTCTGAGTGTGTGTGTTTGTGTGTGTGAGAGAGTGTGTCTCTGAGTGAGTGAGTGTGTGTGTGTCTCTGAGTGTGTGTGTGAGTGAGTGAGTGAGTGAGCGAGAGTTTGTGTGTGAGTGGTTCCTGTCAGAATTAAGTTTTCAGATATGATCAGATTATTATTCTTCATCTGCAGCAGATTGTTCTGGAACCCGGATGTCGATCGGCTCATTAAACCGCGGTTCCGCGGACGAGAGCTCGAGCTCAGCGCGTTCAAACACACCAGTGAGCGCAAATGCGACGAGATAGATCTACCTGCTGCTCTAAACCATCACACTTTACAGCAAATAACGACGGAGAGTGATGAGTGCGGCTTACCTCGAAACCGAACCGGAAGTAGGAAGTTGTTTGATGGGTGACATTGCACGTACGTGCGTAACTACGTCACAACGTTACCGTAGATGGCTGTTCCGTAGTTAAAGTATACGATTTTATTTAGTTTTGCAGTTTTGTACTTGTGTTGTTTGTTCTGTTTTTTCTGTTAAATACTTTTTTTTTTATAAAATTGTTAATTTTGTTCCGAAATTTAACTGAATAAAGCAAACCAAACAGCCATCAAATATCGTCGTGTATAAATGTAAAGATGTTTTCTGACAGTAAAATTGTGTAGGAATACATCTGTTCTATTGAAAAGAGTGCTTTGTTTTTAATATAGCAGTGTAATGCATGCTAAACTAGAAGCTGTTATTATGTAGCTACATTATATTGTATGTTTATTGTTCAAGCTCAATAAAAGTGTGAGAAAACTCAACACACACACAGAAGATCTGGAGCTCCTGCTGTTTACTCTTCATTGCTCTGATCGAGACTCTCAAGCACACTGTGTTCAGAGCATCTGCATCTCTGAGACAGATCAGACCAGCAGAGAGCAGCATTAGCAGACTATACTGTGATGATGTGGCACTGAGTCTGTAGTCTGCTGTCACAGAAAACACCTCCTCTGAGCAACATGTGCACTGCTTCAGTGTATCACAGACTAGATAATAATATATTAGGATTCTCTTAAAGTGTCACTAGTGAAGACGGCCAAAGACTATAGATTGACAAAGATTTTGCTATGAATGAGAGAAAGTGCCACCCTCGAGATGGCCGCCATACTGAAGGAAGCCCCGCCTTCCGGTCAAACTAACCAATCGTCAAGCTTTACACGCTGGTGTTTTTCTGTGGGCGGGGCTCCGACTGTAATGCATTGATTTTATTATTTAATAAAGTCTTTTGTATTTACAGTTATGGTCAGCTGTCAATCTCAGGAGGTAGCCTCTATTAGAGAAGTGTTTTGATTTCTATAGTATTTATAATAATAATAATAATAATATAGTAAATCTAAAGTCTTTGTCCTTAATCCCTTTATCCTACATTATTGATATGTTAGTAAGGAAGGACATTTTAAGTCAGATTAAATCACATATCATCTGTCATTTTTTGGGAAAGCAGAACATGAATGATCATATCTGACTTTTTCTTTTACCGAGCGGCTAGTCGTTTCCATAGCAATTTATTTATTGTTTTTAATTATTAGCCATGTGACTGTGTGTGCTTTAACATTTGCATTTTGGAAAACCGATATTATGGTGACTTACGAAAAAGTAATGTCCTCGCTTAGAATAACAATCCATAAATTTGTAAGAATAACTAATATATATATAATAATAAATGTATTTACATTGGTTATGTAAGGTACAACATAAACAGAAGAAAAGTGTTCGGCAGTTTTATTAAATATTTTGCACCATGTGACGAGAACTGTTTATTATCAATCATAATGCAAAGAACATCCACATCACATCTCGAGTCCTTCCAGTGGTCTTTGCTCCGGTTCTGAACTCCTCAATATGTCCCAAATGACGCACTATACACTATGCACGTATACACTCTGTACATATGTACTCAACCATGTAGTGTATGAATTATATAAGCTTATTTTGTCATTCAGAGTCTGGTAGCTCCTCCCCCTTCACTACGTAATCAAAGCTGCGACAGTTGAGTGCATGAAGTGTGCAAGTCCACATTTTTTCGGTTATTTAAGTGCATCATCCGGGTATTTAAAGTGCACTTTTTCTTTTAGGAATTTTCAGTGTGAACACACTACTCACACTATTTATACTACAAAACGTCATAGAATCGTGCATAAGTACGCGATTTGGGACGCACCTTCTGTCTCTGTTCTGTGTTTGTAACATAGACTGTAAAAAAACATGGACGTATGTCCGTGACGTCACCCGTAGGTTTCCGAAGAGCGTTTTTGAAGCCTAAAGTGGGCGGAGCCAGCCGTCGCCACCTTGGCGGCGCTTCACTCCCGGATAATCGAAAATCGGCAAAAAGGCGGGAGCAGGTTGCTGAAACCACACCCACCTAGCTCGACGGTGGTGACAGCAGCGGCAATCCACCTGTCACTCAAGTGGCCACGCCCTTAATTATGCAGAACTTTAAGGCTTAATATAATTTAAACGGATGAGTTATAAAAAAATTCACCCCCCTCACAGTTGTCATGAAGGGCAAAATTAGCTATATAGACCAAAACCACTTTGGGTACCAGGCTGTTAACGTTTTTTTTCTGCTGTAAAGTTGGGCATTTTAACATGGGGAGTCTATGGGACTGACTCCCTTTTGCAGCCAGCCTCTAGCGGCCAGTCGACGAATTACAGTTTCAGTCACTTCCGTGTTGGCTTCACGAGAGAGAGCGGGAGGTTGCCGCTTGGTTTGTAACCATGTCCTCTGGTTACCACTGAAACAGCCGTAAAGGAGATCGGTGTCGTGAAATACTTGCCAATCTTTGCGCGTCGGTTCACTTCAGGTGCTCAGAGCGCTCCTACAAAAACACGAGGCGCCCGGGGCACACAAAACACTCACTGCCAGTAGAAAATTATTTTTAAAAAGCCGCCTCTCACTGCAAAACAATGCGTTCTGTCTGATCGGGGCCTTGTAGACTCCAGACGACGAGGCTGAGGCCAATGCAGATTCCTGTTACATTTCCGCTGGGCGCTTACACAGTTTCTGGGTTAATGAGACACATTTACACTATCATAAAAACCATTATCCTTTCCATAAATAAACAAGAAAACCCCTCATTCTCATCTGTAGCCATCAGGGATTCACGCACTTGTCCCATCCTGCTCTGTCAATCATCAAACTTTCTGTTATTTGTGTGCTATTTGTTTTTCGATTGACTTTGTTGAAAATCAGATCAATGATACGACCCAGAGATGCAGGCAAACCCACAGGCTTCTGGTCTGAAGAGTCTGATCTGTTGATGACATGAAGCTTTACTGACTTCTGCTGTTCAGCTTTATTATTCCTGATCTCTCATCTGCTCAGTGTCCTAAAATATCACATTTTGGTTTTGTGGTTTTTGGAGCCGTGACTCTAATAAAGACGACTGAAATCCTCCTGGTTTCCGTTTGAGTGAAAAACAGCCTTTTGTCTCGTTAATGAGACTGTTACTCACATTATGAGACACACAGACACACAACCACTGTACCATATCAGACAGACAGTGTTTACACACAACTCAGATAGCTCAGATATTTTCTTGTTAATTAAAACGTAATGTGTTACTTTACTAGTTACTTGAAAAAAGTAATCTGATTACATAACTTGTAATGCTTACCCCAACACTGATCATTACGCTGAGACACACACACACACACACGCACGCACGCACACACACACACACACTCACACACTCACACACATACACACACACACACACACTCTCACAAACTCTCTCTCACACACACACACACACACGAAATGTGTGTTTCGTATGGTAACAAAATATTGTTTTTATAAAGTTGTGTATAGTTTTGACAAAAGTGTTCCATTTTGCAAATGATCTGAAGTGTTGTGCTACTTTGGTGTAGGGTTGTGTTAATTGTGTGTAGTGTTTTGACAAACCGGGCCCTGTTTTCAAAATTGTGCTTAAGCAATCGTAAAAAACTGTAATACATCTTCTACCCATGTTACAGTTCTGTGTTACCCATGTTACTGCTTCTGTGATGTGCGTCCTGAGGAAGAGACAACGAACGATAAACGCAGATAAACGCAGTCGTAATGTTTTATGGCTGTTTTCACAGATATGATACTGCCGGAGGAGCTGAAAACATTCATGGGTGACTGCGGTTTTGAAAGCGTTTCTCCTGAACTTTACAGCTGAGGTCAGTGACAGGTGTGTATCCCAGAATCCCCTCGAGTTATGACGACTCTCACCGAGACTCGAGGCTCGCAGTAATGCACGGTGATACGTGACTGAATTCCTGTTCTCATGGGCTCAAGGTTCCTGCTGTATTGATTTTGTTGGCACATTATTAAAGCAGCGGCCCAACAGGAGCATGTGTGTTACGAGAAAAGAATCTGAATCGAACCTTGCAGACGCTACAGGAAGGAAGGATATCATAAACAATATAACACACTGTAAAACATCTCCACCATACTTTAACTTCAAACCTTCGGTTCAGACGCTGCCAGAGACTTTTAACTCAAATTAGACTTTTAAAAACTGAGTTTAATCTCAAAGAACTTGAAGTTGAAATTGGTTAAATTATTTTGATGATTTAAAGTAATGGAACAACATATGCATCATTATTTAGTGCAGATGTGCACTTCAGCTGTTTGAGTTACAGTATTACAGTGTTTTACACACATTTCTCACGTTTTCAAAACTCTGCACAAAGCGAAGCTCAAGAGCATCAATGTGGATGAACTGGATCATTTATCATAAAATGCATTCAATGAAAACATCTTTCATATCACACGAACTCTTTTCTCACTCAGACACAGAAAACACCAAAACTCAATGACCCTACAAGATCAAACTTAAGCTCAAAACCAGAACACAAAAATGAGTAATACAGAAATGTGCTACATTTATACAATAATACCACACTGGAACATATTCTGAATTTTAAAAACAATGTGATAACCCCTACACAGTCTTTCAGTTTCATCATCATCTGTGCAGAAGGAGAAAAACTAGGAATAATGTTGTGCTGTAAAGTAAACACGGACTATGAACATTTACATACAATAATACCACATTGGAACATATTCTGAATTTTAAAAACAATGTGATAACCCCTACACAGTCTTTCAGTTTCATCATCTGTGCAGAAGGAGAAAAACTAGGAATAATGTTGTGCTGTAAAGTAAACACGGACTATGAACATTTACTGCACTGAATTATAAACAGTAGAACGTGTCTTTCTTGTTTTGTAAGTAATTTTACGAAAGCAACCACTGCGTAATGCTGCTTGTTCGAGTTTTTAGGTCGTTGTGATGAAGTCTGTGTGTTTGCTAGCGTGTGGAAGAATGAGCTGATTTGAGACGTGTGCGTGTGTGTTTAGTGCATTTCGAATGTGATATTCACTGCTGTATCAAGATGAAATGTGGTTTGGAGAACTGTGAAGAGTTTTGAACTAATGACTTAAGCATTGAGAAACGAGTCCTATAGTGAGGAACCTGCTCTTGTTTTTCACTGAACTGAAGCTTTCCCCTGCAGCTGCGAGCTCATTCCTGGCCATCAGCACGGAAAAGATGATCCGCAGCAGCTCCTGGAGTGTGAATGAAGAATCTGGCAGACGTGCCTCAACACCAAACTCAGAAGCTTCGAGACGTCTGTTCGTTCAGAAACACGGACAAACGAGTCAGAGATCAGATCATAAGAACCACAGCATTCACACTTTTATCAATGCATTTGATCAACAAGCAGAAGATCATTTGATTCAATTATACTTTTTGTTAATATTTTGATTTAGTTGTATATTTTCTGCTTTCATGTTAATTTTATTCTTTATTTTGTTTTTTTCCCCTCATTTTTATTAGTTTTTGTTGTTTTGAAATATGCACTGTAAATTAAAAAAAAAAATTAGATCACAATGTACTGTATTAAAATGTAGGAATTTTCCGTTTTGATTTTTTACAGGTGTTTTATGTGTATTTTAAATTTTGCACTTCATTCTTTGTGTTTTACGGTTAACGGAAAGATCCGTAAAATTAATGTATAATGTCCTGGCAGAAAAATTACCACTACATTTTCTTTCTTTTTTCTTTTTAATACAGCGTGTCTGTTTTGTTTTTATACATTTTTATTTATTATTGGTTTAGTTTTATTGATTTTAGTACATCAAGTTAAACTCAATGAAAATGAGAAATATCGACTTGAAAACTAGCTGGTTTCAGGTTTTTTTTTTTATATTTTATTTCAGTTTACGTTTTTTCAATTTCAAGCAACAATATTTGCAATGGGTTTAGTTTTAGTTAACTGTAGTGTGTGAAGATGAAACAAGGATGAAAACGAGTCCTCTAGAAGATTCTTCTGATCCATAACACAAAACACTTCGATTCCTGGTAAAGCAAGAACTGATAACCTGAATGCTGTAAGTGTCTTTGGATAAAAGTTTACATTCAAGAATTAAGCAGAACTCATGCAGATGCGCACACACACTCTCTCACACACACACACACACACACACACACACACACACACACACACACACACACACACACTCACACACCCACCCCCTCTCACACACACACACACACACCCTCTCACATACACTCACACAGACACACTCACACACACACCCTCTCACACACACTCTCACATACATTCACACAGACAGACACACAAACACACACCCACCCCCTCACACCCACACAGACACTCACACACACCCTCTCACATACACTCTCACATACACACAAACACACACCCACCTTCTCACACCCACACACTCTCACAAACACACACCCACCCCCTCTCACACACACACACGCCCACACACAGACACTCACACCCTCTCACATACACTCACACAGACACACACAAACACACACCCACCCCCTCACAGACACTCACACACCCTCTCTCTCACACACTCACTCTCACACACCCTCTCTCTCACACACTCACTCTCACACACCCTCTCTCTCACACACTCACTCTCACACACCCTCTCTCTCACACACTCACTCTCACACACCCTCTCTCTCACACACTCACTCTCACACACCCTCTCTCTCACACACTCACTCTCACACACCCTCTCTCTCACACACTCACTCTCACACACCCTCTCTCTCACACACTCACTCTCACACACCCTCTCTCTCACACACTCACTCTCACACACCCTCTCTCTCACACACTCACTCTCACACACCCTCTCTCTCACACACTCACTCTCACACACCCTCTCTCTCACACACTCACTCTCACACACCCTCTCTCTCACACACTCACTCTCACACACCCTCTCTCTCACACACTCACTCTCACACACCCTCTCTCTCACACACTCACTCTCACACACCCTCTCTCTCACACACTCACTCTCACACACCCTCTCTCTCACACACTCACTCTCACACACCCTCTCTCTCACACACTCACTCTCACACACCCTCTCTCTCACACACTCACTCTCACACACCCTCTCTCTCACACACTCACTCTCACACACCCTCTCTCTCACACACTCACTCTCACACACCCTCTCTCTCACACACTCACTCTCACACACCCTCTCTCTCACACACTCACTCTCACACACCCTCTCTCTCACACACTCACTCTCACACACCCTCTCTCTCACACACTCACTCTCACACACCCTCTCTCTCACACACTCACTCTCACACACCCTCTCTCTCACACACTCACTCTCACACACCCTCTCTCTCACACACTCACTCTCACACACCCTCTCTCTCACACACTCACTCTCACACACCCTCTCTCTCACACACTCACTCTCACACACCCTCTCTCTCACACACTCACTCTCACACACCCTCTCTCTCACACACTCACTCTCACACACCCTCTCTCTCACACACTCACTCTCACACACCCTCTCTCTCACACACTCACTCTCACACACCCTCTCTCTCACACACTCACTCTCACACACACACTCACACAGACAGACACACAAACACACACCCACCTTCTCACACCCACACACTCACACACACACACACCCCCTCACATACACTCACACAGACACACTCACACACACCCTCTCACACACCCTCTCACACACACTCTCACATACACTCACACAGACAGACACACAAACACACACACACCCCCTCTCCCACACACAGACACT